AAGAAGGGGGAAACCTAATATTCAAAGGAAACCAAATGGTGGAATTTTCCTTAAAATGGTCCCTTTCACTCCTCACATCCCCACTGATTTTCTATAATTTTCTAAAAGTCACTGACATCAGAGATGTTCTTTGGGTTAATGGAATCACATGAGAAAGGAAGATTAAAGAAACCAGGAACTAACTTTTATATGACAATAAGTTAAAGCACAAAAAAACACATTTAGTGGTATTTTTTAAACAAAGTTTATAGAAAATTATGTTATATCAAATCCCATATACTATGTATCTTTATTTCTTATTTAAATATTCATTTATTCATTTGAAAATTAGAGTTACAGAGACAGGGAGAGACAGAGATCTTCCAAACCTACCACCACTATCCCCTTCTTTTGTCCCTTATAGCAATTTTACTAATAAAATTCACATAACACTTACTTAAAGCATACATTTAATTCAATGGCTTTAGTATATTCAGTGTTGTGTAACCATCACCAAATCAATTTTTTAAATGTTTATTTATTTTTTATTTATTTGAAAGGCAGAGCAAGAGCAAGAGATCCTCCATCTGCTGGGTCAGTCCCCTAAAACCCATAATGGCCTTGGCTGGGGCCAGGTCAAAGCTGGGATCTCAATTCAGGTCCCCCATGTGGACGGCAGGGACACGACCTGCTGCTTTCCAGAGTGTACACTAGAAGAAAGCTGGAACCTGTGAAACCCAGGCACACTGACAGGAGATGTGGGCATTCCAAGCAGCATCTTAACTGCAATACTGAATGCCTCCCCAAATATATCTTTCATTTACATTTTTCCACAAACTTTTTAAAATGCCTTTGTTTGTGTTCTTTCACATAGCATAATGTTTTCAGGGTTCATCTATGTTGTGGCATGTATTAGTACCTCATTCACTTTTATTATCAAATAATATACGATATATGAAATAGATTATATATATATATATTCACACACATACATCTGATCTTGAGTGGCTATAATTTTCCAATGCACACTTGTGTGCCTGTCAAATTAAAAAGGCAGATATATAATAAAGTTTTTAAAAACTAAAAAAAGAAATCATTTTAATCAATATTTGACCCAATTAGTGATACTTAGGGACTATTATTTTAAACAATGAAGGTAAGATATCCACTCTTTACAGAGACCATGACCCAGCAAAAAGTCGGAGCAAAAAGAACAAAAGAAGACTTTTTAAAAAGCAATCTAAGGGGCCGGCACTGTGGCACTGCAGGTGGGGCCTCTGCCTGCAATGCCAGCATCCCATATGGACTCTGGTTCACATTACATCTGCTCCACTCTGGTCCAGCTCTCTGCTTTGGTCTGGGAAAGCAGTGGAGGATGATCCACTCACATGGGAAACCCAGAGGAGGCTCTTGGCTCCTGGCTTCTGTTGCAGCCACAATTGGGGGTTTGGGGGTGAGCCAGAGGATGGAAGACCTTTCTTTCTCTCAGCCTTTGCCTTTCTGTGATTCTTCCTTTCATATAGATAAATAAGTTTAAAAAATGTAAGGGGCTGATGCTGTGGCGCAGCAGGTTAAAGCCATAGCCTGCATTGCCAGCATCCCTCATGGGTGCTAGTTTAAATTCCGGCTGCTCCACTTCTGATCCAGCTCTCTGATATGGCCTGGGAAAGCAGTAGAAGATGGGAGACCTGGAAGGAGCTCCTGGCTCCTAGCTTCAGATCAGCTCAGCTCTGGTCACTGCGGTCATTTGGGGATTGAACCAGTGGATGGAAAAATCTCTTTCTCTCTCTCTGGCTCTATCTCTCTCTGTAACTCTTTCAAATAAACAGAATAAATCTTGAAAACTAAAAAATAATTTAATGTTATAGAACTTGACTTTAAGAGTAAGAAATGAAAAGAAGCCATTAAACTTAAGCATCCTACCTAACCGAATGCTTCTGTTTAGTCTCCATTAAGCTGAGGCATTTGAAATCAGTAACAAATTATTCTTAAGTACTCTGAAATACAGTCTGTAAATTATTCCTTTTTATTATTATTATTATTATTTTTGACAGGCAGAGTGGATAGTGAGAGAGAGAGAAAGGTCTTCCTTTGTGTCGCTCCCCCTCTTCGTGGAGGAACGACACTAAACCCTGCCTAGGCTTCATATCCGAGTCACGGCACCATTATGTCGCTCCCCCTCTTCGTGGAGGAACGACACAGGACCCTGCGCTGTTCTTTCGTCTGCTCGGCCCTCCCCGGGTTTGCTGCTGGTTCTTCCCGGGTTGGCTACTATCCCTTCCACCTCCGTGGAAGGGCAGTTCCCCCTGCCACATTCCCCACTTCCGCAGGGGAGCGGCACACCGCCGGCCGGTTCTCTCGGGGGCTGCACGGGTTCCCTCAGATGTTCCCCATAGATGTTCCTGGTGCATGCCGTCTCTCTCCTCCTTTATAGTCCTCCTCCACCAATCCCAACTCGGCTGCCCACACGCCGAGTACGCTGCTCTCCAATCAGGAGCAAGTCCTACAGTTAATTGGTTGAACTGGAGGCAGCTGTGCGGAAGCTGTTTACTTCTCTCCCAGCGCCATATTGTGGGAGAGCAGATGCATAGAATAAGTCTTAATTCCAGTAACTCAGTCCAGTCCGGATTGCTCCCCACACCTTTGCTGTTGGTTCACCCTCCAATGGCCGCCGTGGCCGGCGCGCTGCGGCCGGCGCACTGCACTGATCCGAAGGCAGGAGCCAGGTGCTTATCCTGGTCTCCCATGGGGTGCAGGGCCCAAGCACTTGGGCCATCCTCCACTGCACTCCTGGGCCACAGCAGAGAGCTGGCCTGGAAGAGGGGCAACCGGGAAAGAATCCGGCGCCCCGACTGGGACTAGAACCCGGTGTGCCGGCGCCGCTAGGTGGAGGATTAGCCTATTGAGCTGCAGCGTCGGCCCCTTTGTTTTATTTTTTAAAAGATCTATTTATTTGAAAGTCAGAGTGACACACACACACAAAGAGATCTTCCATTTGTTGATTTACTACCCCAAAAGCCTGCAATAGCATGGGCTGTGCTAGGCCAAAGCTGGGAGCCAGGAATTCCATATGGGTCTTCCACACAGGTGGCAGGGGCCCAAGCTCTTAGGCTATATTCCATTGCCTTCCCAGGCATTTTAGCAGTAAGTTATATCAGAAGCAGAGCAGCTGGGACTCAAACTGGCACTCCAATATGAGATGCTGGTGGTGGGCAGCTTAACAGCTGCACCACAATGCCAACCCTAAGGGATAGTAATTCTACACATCTCTTCTTACTGGATATTATAAATCACCTGAAGTTATGTAACCACCCCTAGGGAAACTGGAATAAGGCTTGGAAGGGAAAAGTAAAAGAACTCATAATATTAAAGCCAAGACTGATCCTCAGATATGTACAAGACATTTGCTTTAAAAATTGTTAACAAGGTTGGATTAGAGGGGCAAGATCTATTTGCCTAAGGATAATTACAGAATAAATCAATTTATATTCATATACAAAGGCATTCAAAAAGCTCATGGATATGGAATTGAAGTTTATTTGCATGCAAAAGCATTTTCATAAACTTTTTTTAACAACTTATTTATTTGAAAGGCAGAGAGAGAGAGAGAGAAAGAGAGGGAGGGAGGGAGAGGGGAATCTTCCATGCACTGGTTCACTTCTCAAATGGTTTCACCAGCCAGGGCTGGGCCAGGCTGGAGACAAGAGCTTCTGAGGGGTCTCCCATGTGGGTGACAGGGGCTCAACACTTGAGTCATTTTTTGTTGTATTCCCAGGCACAATAACAGGGAGCTAGATCAGAAGTGGAACAGCCAGGACTTGAACCAGTGTCGGTATGGGATGCCAGTATTGAAGGTGGTAGCTTAACCCACTGTACCACATCAGTCTCAACCATGAACTTTTGAATGACCCCCCTATATGCACAGATTTCAAAAGATTTTTCACTTAAATAAATTTACCTTATAATCTCATTTTCTGTGAACTTTTTGAATGCCCTAATCCATCATCTGTTGACCTTAGATCTTTAACAAACATACTTTCATATCCTTTGTCAAAGGCTATTTTATTTTTAAGTCTATTAGGGAAAAGACAAAGGGGTATGAAAAGCAAAATTATAACATGGTACTACAAAGTTATCAGATTACATTACTGAATAAAATAAGGATAGATTTGTAGAAAATGCAAAGTTTGATATATCCTACACCAAAGAGAAGAAACAAACAAATACAAAGCAGGGTATAGACAGGCTGACTGTATTTCTAATCAAAGATGCAGAAAAGAGCAGAGTAAGAGAGGAGACATTCCACTTCATTGACTATAGTCCTAAATAAAGATTGCTGGCATGGGTAAACTGGTGATATGCTATGGAATTCCAGTCTAAGCCATACCAGAACCATTTAATCCCACATGTTTCTGATAAAAAAATAACCAGATGCTGCCTTTTTCCAAGGCAGCCCTGAAATTTGGGCAAAAAAATCCACAGCTATAAATTCTGAATGCAAAACTATACCAAATGAGAAATGCTATGAATAACTGGGTAACAAAACAGATAAAATTAAAATCAATGCCTTACTCAACATTGCTACAATAATTATAAGAAGTCTCATAAGCACATAAACTCATGGATTAGAAATCAAAGCAACAATGATGACAAAAGTAAAATTTTAAGGCTGATATTGCCACAAAAATGGCCTAATTTATAAAGGAAGGAGACTATACATATGTAAAGTATGTAGTATGAAAACACGTACAAAGAGTGTCAATTTCGGCAGTTGATTATAGTAAAAGATGGAACAGTCATAAGGAAGTAGTTAAGTAAATTATGGCACACCCATATAATGGAACTCTGTGGAGACATAGCACATGCAGGAATACCACACACAGCTGGATCCACACGTGCTACTGTAGACCTAGCATCAGAATACATTAGGAGAAGAACAGCAAGGGCTAGCACACTATACACAGGAAGGTGATTAATTTTTAATCAACTGAAGAGTAGTATAAATAATAATTTAAAAATACCTTGTGGTATCTTCTTGACAGTGCCTCTTTTACTTCTTGAAATTCTTTTCCCAGTTGTTTTTTTGTCCTTTCCAAAGAAGGTCTGTCCATCTTTGGGGACTTCACAAGGAGTGTTTTCCAAGTTCTCACCTGCAGCTGCCTCACAGGTGGGTATAGCACTTTCATTATTGTTGAGACTGTCCTGCTGAGACACTTCAGGTTTTCCCATTGCGCTGTCACTGCAGGTCAGGTGCTCCTGCCCACCCCCATCAAGCTGATTTTCATTTTCATCTGACACAGGAGCCAAGCATGTTACTGTCCTTTCCACGCTGTCACCAGGCAGACACCCATCTTTTGGTTCTATCTGCAGATTATATGTAGGGGTATCACTGTCATCCATTAGAGCATCCTTTGTTGAACCGTTTAAAGTTTCATTAAAGTCCTTCCATGTCTACAATGACTGAAGGAGAACAAACTACTTCATTTTCTAACCTCTGTCGATTCTCAGTGATCTCTGATTTTCCTCTTCCCTTGGTTGTTTCCCTGCAACTGGGAAAGAGAAGGAGAAGACTGAAGTTCATTCCTACACTTCTTTCTCCACGTGCAACCCCACCCAACCCAACCCAGTACTCACTGAACACGCTGGTTTCCAACCCTGGCTGCTCGTGAGAATTACCTGGGAGCTGCCCGCATTCCAGCTAGACCCACTGAATCAGAATCTCTGAGGACAGAGTCCAGGCGCTGACAGAACTGTTTAAGTTCTCCAGGTGATTCTAATGTACATCAGGTTGGGACTGTCATCTTAATGAAAGAAAGCACTGCTTGAATAGGTTATTTGCTAAAATCAAGCACTCAAGTTATGCCTTACCAAAGAAGTGAAAGCTACTAATGTACGTCCTTCTCAGGATAAATAGCAGCATTATTTACAAATAAAAGCAATGGAGCTGGCGCTGCGGCTCACTAGGCTAATCCTCCGCCTTGCGGCGCTGGCACACTGGGTTCTAGTCCCGCTCGGGGCGCCGGATTCTGTCCTGGTTGCCCCTCTTCCAGGCCAGCTCTCTGCTGTGGCCAGGGAGTACAGTGGAGGATGGCCCAAGTGCTTGGGCCCTGCACCCCATGGGAGACCAGGATAAGCACCTGGCTCCTGCCTTCGGATCAGCGCGGTGCGCCGGCCACAGCGGCCATTGGAGAGTAAACCAATGGCAAAGGAAGACCTTTCTCTCTGTCTCTCTCTCTCACTGTCCACTCTGCCTGCCAAAAAAAAAAAAAAAAAAAAGCAATGGAAGGTAAAGTATTTTTAAAAATAAATTTCAAAAAGGTAGGAGGGTCGGCTGGCGCCGTGGCTCACTAGGCTATCCTCCGCCTAGCGGCGCTGGCACACTGGGTTCTAGTCCCGGTCGGGGCGCCCGATTCTGTCCCGGTTGCCCCTCTTCCAGGCCAGCTCTCTGCTGTGGCCCGGGAGTGCAGTGGAGGATGGCCAAGGCCTTGGGCCCTGCACCCGCATGGGACACCAGGAAAAGCACCTGGCTCCTGCCATCGGATCAGCGCGGTGCACCGGCCACAGTGCGCTGGCCGCGGCGGCCATTGGAGGATGAACCAACGGCAAAAGGAAGACCTTTTTCTCTGTCTCTCTCTCTCACTGTCCACTCTGCCTGTCAAAAAAAAAAAAAAAGGTATGAGGGTCAAACTTTAAGTAACATATATTTATACAATACTCTCATTTTATCTTTCACTTCCTAAAAACAAGCCCTGGAAAGAACTTAGGATTGTCAGCAAAATCCTTTTAAGCACTCAGAGAAAAAAGGGAAGACTATAATTACTTTTAGGCTATTAAGTGGAGAGTTGGAAAACTCTAATCTGCTCCAAAGATTTTATTAGTATTTAAATATGTGTAACAGACTACAAGCCCTCTATTTTTTATCTCCTCTTATCACCCAAAAGTATTTTATATTTTTTTCTTAAAGCTTTATTTATTTATTTAAAAGGCAGAGGTAGAGAGAGAGACAGACAGGTATCTTCCATCCGCTGGTTCACTCCCCAAATGGCCGCAACAGCCTGAGCTGAGCTGATCCTGAAACCAAGAGCCAGGAGCTTCTTCCCTATCTCCCACATGGGTGCAGGGGTCCAAGAACTTGGGCCTTCTTCCTACTGCTTTCCCTGGCCATAGCAGAGAGCTAGATGGGAAGTGGAGCAGCCAGGACTTGAACTGGTGCTCATGTGGGATGACGGCACTGCAGGCGGCAGCTTTACCCACTGTGCCACAGCGTCAGCCCCTATATTTATACATTTTAATGTATGTCTTTATATTTTTCAAAATTTAAATATATATGCATATATTTAAAATGATGCCAGTCATATTTTGACATTTTTATGGTGATCAAGCATTATTTTAGGTCTGAATCAAATATTCCAGTAATTCTGAAATACAAAACAATTTTTTTTAATAAAAAAAAAAGGAATAAAAATGGGGTGAGGGTTGTGGTGCGGCAGGTTAAGCTGCTACCTGTTATGCCAGCATCCTATATGGACAATGGTTTGTGTCTGGGTTGCTCCACTTCCCATCCAGCTCCCTGCTAATGCACCTGGGAAAGTAGCGGAGCAAGGCCCAAGTGCTTCGGCCCCTACCGTACATGCAGGAGAACAGGATGGGGTTCTTGGCTCCTGGCCTGGTCCTGGCCCGGCCGGTCAATGCAATCATTTGAGGAATAAACCAACAGATAGAAGTGTTCTTTCTTCCTCTCTATGTAACTCTGCCATGCAAATAAATAAATCTTATTAAAAAAGAAAGAAACCTCAGTGATAGACTTTAAAAATTCTCAAATTAATAGGTAGAATAGGGGCCAGTGCTGTGGCATAGGGAGTTAAGCGCCAGCATCCTATATGGGCACCAGTTTGAGTCCTGGCTGCTCCACCTCCAATTCACCTCCTTGCTAATGGCCTGGGAAATCATCAGAGGATGGCCCAAGTCCTTGGGCCCCGGCACTTATGTGGGAGACCTGGAAGAAGCTCCCGGCTCCTGACTTCGGCCTGGCCCAGCCCCAGTTGTTGCAGCCATTTGGGGAGTGAACCAGCAGATGAAAATCTCTTGGTATATTAAATTCTGCCTTTCAAATAAATAAATCTTTTAAAAAAATAAGAAAAAAAGAGAAAAAATTAGACACATGGGTTCTGCTTTGTAACCCTGTCTCTACTCTGAGGTAAAAAATCTACTACACAATATTTTACTTCTGTCTGTATTCCTAACACATTTCAATTAGAATACCTTAATATAAGCAATAAGATAAACTTCATGGGATTTCTAATCAGTATATTTCTACTTATTTTGTAAAGTTATAAATAAAATGCTATTTTTATCTCTTTTTCTTCCTCTTTCCTCTCCCCCAATGCTATACCAACAACATTTTAATTTCCGTTACACCTATATCTCACTGCATGAAAGCACTTGGCAAAAGATAATCACCGAGAGAAAGAGGCCCAGTTAATACAGTTTGAAATATGTGCTAACTTTGGTTTGGGAGCGAGGGAGTTATCAAAACAGTTAAGATTGCATTCCACATTATTTGCTCTATCTGAACAGTACCGCTATTCTCTAAGAGTCTCCATGCATACACCATTCTCATAAAAGAAACAAGGACACAGTACAATCACTGCTACAGGACTAACTCTGGCCTATTTTGCCTTTTAAAAGAATGATAGTGAGTGCTAACCAAGTTTATGGCAAGATGGCATTTAAAACACATGCACAGTATAAAGTCATTTGACACAGCAACTCTTCAGCTGAAGAATTTCAAGTGAACATATTCAAGGAAGGGTTCCCCAAGACATGAAATCCATAAAACTTCGAGGAACAAATTTTAAATAAGCATAAATAATTTAAAATGACAGACTAAGAAATCTACATTTTGACTAAAACAAATGCATAATCTCAATCCTATGAAGGGTTTAACATCATTTTCCCTATGTCTTAATGGATGTCTGATGAAACTAAACATCAGGTATTACTTTTTAAAAACTTAACACAGAAATAGCTACATATAATTTTATTTTACTGAAATGCTTTAAGGAGACTAAGGGTGGTATTTTTCTGTAATTCACACAAATCAAACCTAAATACTATACTTTTTCTTGGTTCTTGAAAGAAGTCAATGTCCTTTTTAAGAATTAAACTTCAACCCCAAATCTAAATTTGAGATTTATACTTTGGTCAAATCAAAATTTAGAGGACTAAGGTATCCTATCAACCCCAAGTTCAAATTTGCGTACTCATATTCAATTCAGTATTGAGGGAGAAAAGCTATACTCATATATTATTCTTTTCCTTAAGGTTACTACACACTTTACATTTATTTTATCACACTTTATTTACTAGATGTCTTCCAATACTACTATCTCATTGCTGAATTTCTATCTTTCTTTGATTAATGCTACCTTTGTTTAGACATATGTATCTATAGGCAATATTTAGTCTATCAACAATCAAAAGTATGCCCCAAAGGAACAATTCTTAAAAACTTTACAACCTATAATGAGAATTTCATTTTTCATTGAGATCCTATACACAGAAAATGTATACATATTTGTAACTAAAACAAAAGCTTCCCAAAACACAGCACAAGTGGTGCACTGTGATATATTCCCCATTCTTTTTTTTTTTTTTTTCTTGACAGGCAGAGTGGACAGTGAGAGAGAGAGAGACAGGTCTTCCTTTACCATTGGTTCACCCTCCACTGGCCGCTGTGGCCAGTGTGCTGTGGCCGGCGCACCGCGCTGATCCAAAGCCAGGAGCCAGGTGCTTCTCCTGGTCTCCCATGCGGGTGCAGGGCCCAAGCACTTGGGCCATCCTCCACTGCACTCCCGGGCCACAGCAGAGAGCTGGACTGGAAGAGGGCAATCGGAACAGAATCCGGCGCCCTGACTGGGACTAGAACTCGGTGTGCCGGTGCCACAGGCAGAGGATTAGCCTATTGAGCTGCGGCACCGATATTCCCCATTCTATTTAACATTATTTCATTTATTTTTAAGATGCTGGGATGAGTGTTTGGCCTAGAAGTTGAGACCCCAGTTAAGAGCCCATTTGTTCTAACAGAGTACTACCCAGGATGAAGTCCTGATTCCAGGTCCAGCCAGATTCCAGCTTCCAAACAATGCAGACCCTAGGAGGCAGGTGCTGGCTCAAGTAGTTGGGTCCCTACCACCTATGTAGGATTTCTGGATTTAACTCCCAGCTCCTGGCTTCATTCTGGCCCAGTCCCAGACACTGCAGGCGTATGGGGAGTGAATAAGCAGATGAGAGCTCTGTCTGTCTGTATCTCTACTTCTCTGTCCCTTAAACAAACAATAAAAAAACGCTGATCAAGATCCACTGTGGGGCCAGCACCGTGGCTCACTTGGTTAATCCTCCGCCTGCGGCGCCCACATCCCATATAGGCTGCTCCTCTTCCAGTCCAGCTCTCTGCTGTTGTCTGGGAAGGCAGTGGAGGATGGCCCAAGTACTTCGGCCCCTGCACCCTCATGGGAGACCAGGAGGAAGCACCTGGCTCCTGGCTTCG